CATCTCCCAAGCCTCGCATCTCAATTTAGCCTTGCAGCCCAACTATCATCTCGTTACGCTACATTTTAGTCTCATCTCTATACGTTAGTCAGTCATGCTAATGTGCTCCATCTCACCATCTCTGGACCTTGTTGCCTCCTGTGATAGATTCTGTCTTGCTATTTCTGCCGCTGCCCCCTCCCTCCCATGATTATATGCTTATACGCGACTACGAGAGCTGGGCACATGCAGGGGCAGACCAGGCAGTGACTCCAGGGCTGTTTGACACAAAAAATCGCAGTGAGGGCCAACGGCAAAGCAAGCGCATGGTGTGCATCTCTATACGTTAGTCAGTCATGCTAATGTGCTCCATATCACCATCCCTGGACCTTGTTGCCTCCTGTGATAGATTCTGTCTTGCTATTTCTGCCGCTGCCCCCTCCCTCCCATGATTATATGCTTATACGCGACTACGAGAGCTGGGCACATGCAGGGGCAGACCAGGCAGTGACTCCAGGGCTGTTTGACACAAAAAATCGCAGTGAGGGCCAACGGCAAAGCAAGCGCATGGTGTGGGGATTACGAGACGATGGCCGAAGGGGTAATGGTATGATGTGGTGATGGGAATATGGGTAATGGATTAATGGGCTGATGGGAAGATCTTGTGATGATGTGATGGGACGATTGTGTGATGGTGTGATGTGATGGTGAGATCAAGGGACTTGAGTCCTCCATATGGAAATGGTCGATCCAAGAGACTTTGGAGCGGCTACGGACTATGTTGGTTGACCGGGCGTGGTTGCCCGGTCGACCGGGATACCCGGGCGACATGCGCGAGTGTCGCCGGGGTGGAGTCTGCGAGGCCGACCTCGGGGGTGGTATCCCGAGGTCGACGTGGCTGGTGGGCGCAGTCGCTGGTGTGGAGTCTGCTAGGCGTCTGCGGTGTGCTCGTGACAAGGTGTGGAGCGCCAACCAGTTGCACGCACCTGCGAAGCAGGTGCACCGTTGTCCTGCGGGTGCAACGCTGTGCAGTCGACTTGCTGCAGCGTTGGCACACCATGGACTTGCAACGTTGGCGCATCGCTACTCTGCAACGCTGGAGCGGTGCGAGCGCTGCTGCGCTGGAGCGCGGTCAACCGTGCTGCGTTGGAGGTCGACCAGCAGCGTAACTAGCTCTGATGTAGTCAGTGTTGCCAATGTTGCTGCAATCATTGTTGTCACTCTTGCAAATTCTCCCTGTGAACTAGCAAGCAGCGTGAACACAAGGAAACGACTAGAGAACGAACGCAGGCATCACAAGAGCACTCGTGCCTAGCCTGAAGTCTAGCTCCCGTTGCTAAAGTTATCTCCGCAGGAAGGACAACAGAGAGTGACTGCTGTACTCAGCACATCTGGTGGCTCTGCCACAATGCTGGACAACGTGGGGAGGGTGGAGAGTGGATTTGGGAGTAGGGAGGAAAAGGGAGGAACCTTAACATGCAAGTGTATGGATTTCATTGCTCCTGATTTGTAGCTCGTGCCTCGTGCAGCTAAGAGAAGTGGGGCCATGGGGGGGAGGACAGGCAATGAACTGCCAGATTGAACAGAAGCCATTGTGGTGCAGATCACATACAGAGAAAGGGCATGGCGAGAGTGTGATGGGACGATGGGGTGATGGGGTATGAGTTGATGGGGTGAAGGGGAGATGGGATGATGCGATGATCGTGTGATGGGGTAATGGAATCATAGGGTGATGGACGATCGTATCATCGGGTGATGAGATCATTAGATGATGAGATCATGCTGCGATGTGATCACGGGATGATGTGACCATGGGATAATGAGATCATGGGATGATGAGATCATGGGATGATGGTATCATGGGATGATGAGATCATAGGGTGACGAGATCATGGGGATATGTAGTCATGGGGATATGTAATCATGGGGTTATGTAATAATAAGGTTATGTAATCAGGGGTTTATGTGATCGTATCATTATGCAATAAAGGGGTTATGTGATTACCAGATGATGAGATCATGGGGTAATTAGATTATAGGGTTATGAGATCATGGGTAATGACATCATGAGGTTATGAGACCATAAGGTAATATGATCAAGGGGTTATGTATTCATGGGGTTATGTGATCATGGGGTTATTGAAAGAAACCAAGTTAGCTAGGGAAGGACTTAGGAGTAGAAATTACATTATCTCAAGTGAGCTTGCAAGATAAACATTCAAGAGAGAAATGAAGCAGAAGCCAGATCTACATGGAATAGTGACCCAACTGGCCTAGTGGGGTGAGTTGGACTAAGGACCCAACTGGCCTGGTGGGGTGAGTTCGACTGCAGCCTGTTGAGTGCAATACATGGTTTGCACGGCAACCTACCGCCTATTCGCCGACGTTAATGGAAAGTGGGGAGTTTTGTTTGAAGGTAATTTGTGGCGTGAGAAATGTCTTTTCATTTTGCATTTTGTGTGTGCGCATTTTTGTTTGTGTTCTGTGTGCATTCGTCCTTGCATTTTGTGTGTTTTGTTTTCATTTGTAATTGCATTTTGTTTGTGCATTTTCAGTTTCATGTTCACTGTTCTCATGTTGCGCTCAAATGAGGCTCACATCATGCGCTCAAATGAAGCTCTCATGAAGCGCTCAAATGAGGCTCCCATGACGCGCTCAAATGAAAGCTTAAATGAAAGCTCTCATGAAGCTCCAATGAGCCTCAAATGAGCTTCTCATGAAAGTCTCATTTGTGTGCGATGTTTCATGCATCACAAAAATCCTGCGTCCAGAAAACCTTTGGAAAGAGTTGCTTTAAAGCTTTGTTGAATGATTTATAAACGTCTTGTTTGGTACGATATTTTGAGAAAGTATATACCTTCTTCTGGATGCTTTGTCGAACGCTGTTCGCATGCTTCTGCGATGCTTGTGTGTTCAAACCTCTCAGGTTAAAACCTTCGGCAGAAGTTTGGTTGGAGTTTCCGCAGAGCAATTTCGGAGATTGGATCTCATTGCATTGTACTCTTCAAGGACATCCGGTTTAGTTATAATGAAGTTGGATTGGAGACTTGCAATGGTTAACATGTTGTTTAACAAGATGTTTAGTTGCCTCATCCTAGCATCCAAAATGACCATTACTGAAGCGTTGGTAAATGGGTTTTATTCTCAACAAAAAAGGCACATACAAGAGCATCCTACACCCCACCCTCTCTAGTCAAAGACCCCCGCCTCTTAGGGTGATCTGCATCAACCTGCTTCTCATGCTCCCGTACACTATGCCTCCCACTACACCCCATGTCTCGTGCTCTAGGCCGAGCATGCTCGCCCCTACACCTAGCCCCCATGATCCATGCCTTGGCTGCGACCCCACTTCCTGCCTCTCTTCCTGCATCTCCCATCCCTCCTTCACTAATTGTGGTACTATTGCCCTGCCCGTGCGTCCACTGCTTCCTCGCATGTCCAGCCCTGTCATGCGTCTGCTGCTCCGCCCTAGACATCCTCCAGTCAAGCCTTTACTGCTGCTTGCTTTGTCCTATCCTGTCATGCCTATACTGCTGCGGCCCTTGCACCACTCCCCTCCGTAATGCTGTCCCCCTTTCTCTATCCACACGTGCCTTCCCTGATGCCCCCCTTGCTGTCTCCACCAATGCCTCTCCTCGCACGTATGTGATGCCTCTCCTGCTGTCCCCTTTTGTAAACTCCACGCATGCCTCATCTGCAGCCCCCCTTGTCTCGTCACACCATCATTTGGCCCTCTTGCCTCCCCTTCTTTTGCCATTTTCGTGCCTTTTGCCCTTCCTCCGCTCCTGGCCCCCCTGCTTCTCATCCTCATCCTCATCCTCTTCCTCCTCTTTCTCCTCTTCCTCCTCTTCCTCCTCTTCCACTTCCCTCCAACTTCCCTTGCCTCTGCCTCTCTTGTGCTTTCTACCCTTCCTCCGCGACTGCCCCCCCTGTTTCTCATCCTCCTGCTCCTCCTCTTCCTCATCTTCCTCCACTTCCTCTTCCCTCCTGCTTCCCTGCCCTCTGCCTCTCTTGTGCTTCCTGCCCTTCCTCCGCTCCTGCCCCCCCTGTTTCTTATCCCCCAGCTCCTCTTCCTTCTCCTCTTCCTCGTCCGCTTCCCTCCTGCCTCCCCTGGTTTTCCCTCCCTTGTGCCTTCTGCCCTTCCTAAGCTCTTCCCCCCCCCGTTTCTCATCCTCTTCCTCATCCCTCCCGCCTGCCCTAGGTCTCTTGTGCCTTTTCCTCTTCCTCTGCTCCTGCCCCCACTGTTCCTCGTCCTCCTCCTCCTCCTCCTCCTCCTCCTCGTCCTCCTCCTCGTCATCCTTCTCCTCCTCCTCCTCATCCTCCTCTTCCTTATCCTCCTCCATGTCCTCCGAGTCGTACACCTCCTTTTCTTCCTCCTTCAGGTCCTTCGTTTCGGCATCAAGCTCAGCCTTCCCCCGGAAGGCCTCAAATCCTGACTCGTGAACATACAGCCCACGGTCGCCCCACTTGAAGCCCTTCACGTCTGTGTTGTACACGGGGGTGTGGCGTGTGAAGTGGTCCTTGATAATCCACCGCACATTACGGTGCAAACCCCCCATCCATTCACTGTTCTTCCGGTGGGAGTTGGAGACGTTCCAGTCAGTCCTCTTAACCTTTGATAGGCCCTGGTCAATCTGAAAAGGCATAGCACAGTATGGGATGGAGGAAAAACACCAACTTCAGTGGACACTCGCGTGCAGAGTTTAGAGGCTGCGCTAAATGCCCCACATACCATGCCGAGGGACTATAAAACAGCATGCCAAGCTAGAGCATACCATGGGTTGAGCAATAATTGCGTACCACCATGATTGACCAGGCAATGTGGTATGCTTTGACGCACACCCGGCGCCCGACACAGAAATTCCGAAATGCTTCCCGGACCGCATCTACAAACCGGCCGTTGGCAAACGGGAGCCCGTCTCTGTTGTTTCCCCACGAGCTGACCCGCTGTTTCCCTCCTGCGCGCATGTATGACAATGCGGGGAAGCATGAGACATCCGTGATCATGCATGACTCATGGTTTAGGGTTGTCCAAAGGGTATGGATGAACATCGAGGGCGGGGGGGAATGAATGGCGAGAGGGCGGGAGAGTAGGGGTGGGCGGGAGATAGGGGGAGGGCAGGAGAGAAGGGGAGGGCGGGAGAGAAGGGGAGGGCGGTAGAGGAAGGGAGGGCGGGAGAGAAGGGGGTGGCGGGAGAGAAGAGGAGGGCGGGAGTTAAACGGGGGGCGGGAGAAGGGGAGTGTGGGAGAAGAACCAACGGATGGCTGTCATGCGGATGTGTTTGCACATGCGCTACAAGCATGGGCGAGGAGAGCAGGTATGTAGTCGCATGCCAAAGTGGGGATGCATCGGGGGTACGTGCTTCATCAACGTGGGGCATGCACGAGGGGTGCATGAGCAGACATGTCAATAGGGGATGGAAAACAGTCACGCAAGTACTCACTCGGTTGGTATTTTTTCCACATCTTCCGCTTCTTCTTGGTGCCCATCCACAGTTCGGCTGCACGCAGGCCTTCCACCTTGTTGCCGAAAGTGACGAGCACTCTGCGCTTGAGGTGGAAGCCACGTTCGTTCTTCCATGACGTCCAGGCGCGTTTAAAAGCGCCTATGATGTTTTTGTCTTCCATAGCCTCTCGCAGCTGCATCATGTTGATGATGTGCGTCTCGCTCATAACCTCATACAACACCTGCACGCGCTGTTCAAGCGTTGGGTAGAAGTCTATGGCATGGTCTGGCGCTTCGAGGCACATCCGGTCCCGCCCCTCTGCGAAATGAACCTACGACAGCCGGATGGATAGGAAAAAAGGATATGTGGGTGACTCCCAAAGAAGGGCGGAAACCAGAGGTCGAGAGAGTGGGATTTGGGTAACACGTGCCGCAGGCCACCCACACCACCACCAGCACCATGAACAGGGGCTCTGGTTGAGGTAGGGGAGAGCAGGGAGATAGAGGGGGGAGAGAGGGGATGAACTAGTCTGAGTGAAATCATTTGGGAGAGGGAGCAGAGTGTGAGAGCACCGTACGGACTGCGTAAGGGGTCATGTTCTCCTCGTACTAAGAGTCACAACCCCCGCTGCAGCCCGGCCCGCTACACGCTGGCGCCGCATGCCACACACGCGACCAGAAGCACCGTTTAGAGGGGCTCTGGAAGAGGAGGGAGAGGGGTGGGATAGAGGGGGGGGGGGGGGGGGGGGGGGGAGCAAGCGGAAAGAAGGGATTGGGCACGTGGGGATGACAGAGAGTGCTGCTGCTATCTCTGCGCCGCATGCCACCCACACCAGACCAGCAGCACCGTTTAGAGGGGCTCTGGAAGAGGAGGGAGAGGGGTGGGATAGAGAGGGGGGGGGGGAGGAGCAAGCGGAAAGAAGGGATTGGGCACGTGGGGATGACAGAGAGTGCTGCTGCAATCTCTTCGCCGCATGCCACCCACACCAGACCAGCAGCACCGTTTAGAGGGGCTCTGGAAGAGGAGGGAGAGGGGTGGGATGGAGAGGGGAAGGGGGGGGGAGGGAGCAAGCGGAAAGAAGGGTTTAGGGTTCGTGGGGATGACAGAGAGTGCTGCCGCTATCTCTGCGCCGCATGCCACCCACACCAGACCAGCAGCACCGTTTAGAGGGGCTCTGGAAGAGGAGGGAGAGGGGAGGGATAGAGAGGGGGGGGGGAGGAGCAAGCGGAAAGAAGGGATTGGGCACGTGGGTTTGACAGAGAGTGCTGCTGCTATCTCTGCGCTGCATGCCACCCACAGCAGACCAGCAGCACCGTTTAGAGGGGCTCTGGAAGAGGAGGGAGAGGGGTGGGATAGAGAGGGGAAGGGGGGGGGAGGGAGCAAGCGGAAAGAAGAGATTGGGTACGTGGGGATGACAGAGAGTGCTGCTGCAATCTCTGCGCCGCATGCCACCCACACCAGACCAGCAGCACCGTTTAGAGGGGCTCTGGAAGAGGAGGGAGAGGGGTGGGATAGAGAGGGGGGGGGGAGGAGCAAGCGGAAAGAAGGGATTGGGCACGTGGGGATGACAGAGAGTGCTGCTGCAATCTCTTCACCGCATGCCACCCACACCAGACCAGCAGCACCGTTTAGAGGGGCTCTGGAAGAGGAGGGAGAGGGGTGGGATAGAGAGGGGAAGGGGGGGGGAGGGAGCAAGCGGAAAGAAGGGATTGGGCACGTGGGGATGACAGAGAGTGCTGCTGCTATCTCTGCGCCGCATGCCACCCACACCAGACCAGCAGCACCGTTTAGAGGGGCTCTGGAAGAGGAGGGAGAGAGGTGGGATAGAGAGGGGGGGGGGAGGAGCAAGCGGAAAGAAGGGATTGGGCACGTGGGGATGACAGAGAGTGCTGCTGCAATCTCTTCGCCGCATGCCACCCACACCAGACCAGCAGCACCGTTTAGAGGGGCTCTGGAAGAGGAGGGAGAGGGGTGGGATAGAGAGGGGAAGGGGGGGGGAGGGAGCAAGCGGAAAGAAGGGGAAATGGCACGTGGGGATGACAGAGAGTGCTGCCGCTATCTCTGCGCCGCATGCCACCCACACCAGACCAGCAGCACCGTTTAGAGGGGCTCTGGAAGAGGAGGGAGAGTGGTGGGATAGAGAGGGGGGGGGGAGGAGCAAGCGGAAAGAAGGGATTGGGCACGTGGGTTTGACAGAGAGTGCTGCTGCTATCTCTGCGCTGCATGCCACCCACAGCAGACCAGCAGCACCGTTTAGAGGGGCTCTGGAAGAGGAGGGAGAGGGGTGGGATAGAGAGGGGGGGGGAGGAGCAAGCGGAAAGAAGGGATTGGGTACGTGGGGATGACAGAGAGTGCTGCTGCAATCTCTGCGCCGCATGCCACCCACACCAGACCAGCAGCACCGTTTAGAGGGGCTCTGGAAGAGGAGGGAGAGGGGTGGGATAGAGAAGGGGGGGGGAGGAGCAAGCGGAAAGAAGGGATTGGGCACGTGGGGATGACAGAGAGTGCTGCTGCAATCTCTTCGCCGCATGCCACCCACACCAGACCAGCAGCACCGTTTAGAGGGGCTCTGGAAGAGGAGGGAGAGGGGTGGCATAGAGAGGGGGGGGGAGGAGCAAGCGGAAAGAAGGGATTGGGCACGTGGGGATGACAGAGAGTGCTGCTGCTATCTCTGCGCCGCATGCCACCCACACCAGACCAGCAGCACCGTTTAGAGGGGCTCTGGAAGAGGAGGGAGAGAGGTGGGATAGAGAGGGGGGGGGGAGGAGCAAGCGGAAAGAAGGGATTGGGCACGTGGGGATGACAGAGAGTGCTGCTGCAATCTCTTCGCCGCATGCCACCCACACCAGACCAGCAGCACCGTTTAGAGGGGCTCTGGAAGAGGAGGGAGAGGGGTGGGATAGAGAGGGGAAGGGGGGGGGAGGGAGCAAGCGGAAAGAAGGGGAAATGGCACGTGGGGATGACAGAGAGTGCTGCCGCTATCTCTGCGCCGCATGCCACCCACACCAGACCAGCAGCACCGTTTAGAGGGGCTCTGGAAGAGGAGGGAGAGTGGTGGGATAGAGAGGGGGGGGGAGGAGCAAGCGGAAAGAAGGGATTGGGCGCGTAGGGATGACAGAGATGGCTGCTGCTATCTCTGCGCCGCATGCCACCCATACCAGACAAGCAGCGCCATGAACAGGGGCTCTGGAAGAGGATGTGGAGTGACGGGAGAGAGGGGGGGGGGGGGGAAGGAAATAGAACAGTTATGGTGAGCTCGGAGAGGTGGGGCAGAGTGTGAGAGTATCGTACGCCCAGCGCCAGCGTCCTTGAAGCGGGGCATACTGGGAGTGCCTATCACACCGCAGTCAGGCCGCTATCACTGCGCATAATGGTACAAACACTCTGACCAGCATAAAGAGGTGGGGGAAACGAGGTGTTGAGAGAGAGAGCTGCAGCTATCACTGAGCCCCATTCCACACCTTGCTTAACACTTAAACATACCCACCTTCAGCAGCTTGGGCTTGGGCATCCCACGCGTTCGACGGACTGGTACGTCTACCGTCGATGGGCTTTCTGGCGCCACGCCTGGATCGAGGCCCACTGCAGATGGGCCGCTCGACAGAGACGCAATACGAGGAGGCCTAGACGGAGGGGTGCAGGGGTCGACAGGTCCTTTGGCTCCTGGCCTTGCCTTGAGTGCCGCAATTTCGCGATCCCGCTGGGCAAGCTCCCGCATGAGCTGCTCCACCGTCTTTCCAGCCACATTTGGCCGACTGGATGCGCCAGGTGTGCCCATGCTCTCGCCCCTCCCCTCCTTAGTCGCCGGATCCATTTTCAAGTATCCTCCTTCTCCCCTGCTATCCCGTACATCCCACATGGAGCCTTCCACACCGCCGCCACATTCACCCAAGGAATTCGCCCACACACCTCCTCCCACACCGTCATTGGCTGCTGCGGCGGCCGAGGGTTCGTGCCGCTTCATTGCTCCCTCCATTTTCACCTGAACCGCGTGACCCCCCGAAAGCTTTGCATGCGGGTCCGTCGCTTCCGTGCCAAACCGCGCTGACCCCCAAGCGATCGGATCTCCCTTCCCAGACGAATCCATCTGCTCGCGTAACGCAGCATACGTGTCGGTTGCTTTCCGATCATGAGGGCTTGATGGACATCGTAGCCCCATGGACTCGTAAAAATCCAACTCCCGCTTCTCCTTGCTACGCACACCCACAATTTTAGCTTCGAATCGAGGTCTCTGGCGCTTGCCATGTGGTTTGGCACGACGCACACTCTGCTTATAGTTCTTCACCCGTCCTGTCTCCGATTTTCGCTTTCCATTGCCCTTCTTGGTCTTCCGCACACCCCTCCTCTTCAAAGGCCGAGCCTCCTCCTCATCCTCGCTCTCCGGCTCCAATTCCTCATCCTCCTCTTCCTCTTCCTCCTCCTCCTCGTCCTCGTATACTTCCTCACTCCCTGATGAGCTGCCTGACTCACTGTCACTGGATCCCTCCTCCGAACCCGACGAGCTCGAAACATACTGTTTCGTCCCTTGTCGAGCTTGTCTCGCATTTCGGTCGCGACCGGCCGAGTCCACAGCATTGCGTCGTTTGTACGGAATCACAGCTTCACGTCCATGCTCTTTCCCAGCCGTGACTGCTGCAAGCTTGTCCTCATCCTGATCGATACCGCCACCACCTCGCTGCTCTGCTAGCCCTGCAGCGAGAGGGATATGAGAGAGACAATCTCAGCTACACGTCACTCACGACATAGTTGCTAGTGCAACAGGTAACAATATACAAGGAGGGTGGCAGCGAAGGCTATGCAACCTCAAAATCAACGACAGAGGTAGCCAGGAGCCGCCAACCTTCTATAACGGGTCTGGGCAGCGCCTGCTCGTCGCCACCAGCCACATCCAGCAAGAGCCTCCCCGAGGGACTGCCCTTGGCCGCCGCCGCTGCCTTCTCGTTGTTGCGCTTTCCACCACCACGCCCTTCAAGCTCGCCATGTTCCTGCTCGTCGCCACCAGCCACCTCCTGCGAGAGCCTCCCCGAGGGACTGCCCTTTGCCGCCGCCGCCTTCGCGTTGTTTCGCTTTCCACCACTACGCCCTTCAAGCTCGCCATGTTCATGCTCATCGCCACCAGCCACGTCCTCCGAGAGCCTCCCCGAGGGACTGCCCTTGGCCGCCGCCGCCGCCTTCGCGTTGTTGCGCTTTCCACCACCACGCCCTTCAAGCTCACCATGTTCCTGCTCGTCGCCACGCGCAGACATTCCTAGGCGGCCAGATGGACTGCCATGATACTCCGCAGCCCTCCCGCTACGGTCATAACATCTACCGCGTTGTCCTGCACGCCTGCCTGCTGACGGAGCTGCGAGGGCGGACATCACAAGAACATTAGCAGTCCAGTGCGCGCTAACCTTAATTGCACGAAGTGGCATCAGTATGATCAGTCGATGCAGGGAGTAACGTGCTACTTAGAAACCGGCGATATTACACAAACACGCACCTTCTTTGACGGGTCCGCCGTCCTCGACCTCCTCGTCGCCTTCAGACGCAGCATGTGAAGTAGTGCCTCTCTTTTGTTGACGGCGCTTACGCCCCTTTCGGTTGTCACGCTTGTCCTCTGACAATGTTACGGGGGAGCACAATCGGAGCTTCAGTAACGGGAACAAGTCAAACACTACGGCAAACCGCACTTACTGTATCGGTCGGAGGTAATTAATCATGCAAGTCTACCTTTCAGCAGATGGTACCAAAGACACATACCTTTCTGGCCGGCTTTGGGACCGATGTCATCTAAGCGCCTCACGCGCCTCTCCCGTGGTTTTGGAGGGGAGGACACGCCCTTGTTAGCGTATGCCCCAACATCGCCGTCGCTATTTGATTCGTCACCAGATGAAGAGTCCCGTCCTGACTCAACGTCATCACGCGCCAACGACGCATTGTACTTGCGGTACTCGTTAACGATCTCGGCCGTTTTATCTACTGTAACTAACTCCATATAAATTTTTTCCTCCTGCAATTTCGACGAGTCTGCCAAAACGATCGCCCCATCGGGCCCCTTAATCGTCTGACTATCCATTGCAATGTCTAGGTTTCCATTCACGCAGAAGTCTGAGGTGTGTGTTAGTTTTGACGTTGCAACCTGACAGCTACGCTTCGCGCACTAAAAAATTGTTGAGCTTAGAAGGGACGAGTATCAGACAGGGGCCTGGAGCAGATGACCGTCCCACAAGCAGGGACGCAAGAGGAGCACGGAGGTGACGAGGGTTGGAGTGTTTCTTCCTCTGTTCCACCTTGCGACATCCAGGTCCCTCGTTTCCCCAAACAACCAATCACAAGGTGGTTAACGTGCATCCATAAAAAAAATGCGGCTCCAATGGGGCATGATTCAGTGGGAGTGGGCGTTTATCCGTCCAGTAGCGGCAGGGAGCGATACAAAATGTTGCTAGTGCTTAAACGTGCGCTAGTGTATTAGGGCTCACGAAAGATATCTATTCTGCCCGCACAGACTTTATGTGGCTAATTTTCATAGTCTTCCACGCGTGCCTCACGAAGCTTGGCGCAGGCGTCACGTCAATAGTCAAATCGCCACTTCGGACAAACGGGGACGAACCATTGGCGCAATTCGTACAGCGATGCGACAGTCTGATACGAAGCCGTTATGGAACACATGCGATAAGAACGCATGCTCGGGAGTTAGTTGTGAGTGGTGGCGATTGGGTCGCAAGTCGGAGAGAACAACGTTCGTGGCAATGAACTGAGGTACGTGGTATGGCGCACGGGGGGCACAAAATCACACATTTATTTGCAAGGCTGCAATATAGTGTTGAAAAAACATATAAATCATTACTACCAAAGGAATGTTGAGCTATCCAATACCGTACGTTTACTCAAAAGTATGAGCACCGACAGTGCATAACCAGACACATCCTTCACGGACCAATTGTCAGATTGTTTAAGGAGAGCAGTGACCCTGTGTTACGGGTGCAATGAATCGAGGTAGCGAGAATTGCACTAAGGTGTCAAACGAGTACAAAATGTGAGCGAAGGCATGAGCGAACATTTATACGCGAAACATGCAAAACGGTAACGCGGTGCGTGGGAGCTTGCTAGTGCTACGCTGGAGCGAGGCTCGGGCTAGTCCCGAAGCGTAGGCCGACACGGCCATGCCAGCAGTGCGAGGTTTGACAAAACAGTGCGCGCGAAGTTGGCGAAGTTCCGTTAGCAGTAACGGGCGAACAATCGGCTGTTGCTGTACGTGATGTAGTCGGCTCCGTAAGGAATGGGGAACGGGGTTTTGCCCATAGTTCAGGTAGAACGGGGACTGCTGCGTCGTGGCTGATGTGGCGTTGTTGTACGCGAACTCGATCAGCGGCAGCTGCTGCTCCCAGGTCGTGGGGTTGTCGCACGTGGCACGAATCAACTGCTCCATCGTCTGATTCGTCCGCTCCGTTTGACCGTCGGTCTCGGGGTGGTACGACGAGCTGAACTGTAGTCTGGTCCCGAACTGCTCCCAAAGGTTTTTCCAGAAGTTGCTGGTAAACTTCGTGTCCCTATCGCTGATAATTGCTGCTGGTATCCCGTGCAGGCGAACAACGGCTGCGATGAACAGGCGAGCGGTCTCCTCGGCTGAGATCGACTTTTTGCACGCAGCGAAGTGTGCCATCTTCGTCAGCCTATCCACGACGACCATCACCGCGTCGTTACCCCCAGGGTTCGAAGGTAACCCTGTGACCAAGTCCATGGTTACTTGCTGCCAGGCGCGTTCGGGCGGTGGGATCGGCTGTAATTGACCCGCCTTCCGCTTCCTTGAACTCTTCATCACCTGACACGTAGGGCACGAACCCACGTGTTGCTGTACGTCGGTCAACAGCTCCGGCCAGTAGTAATACCGCTGCAGTTGCTGTCGCGTTTTTTCGACCCCGAAATGTCCCGAGGTAATCCCGTCGTGTGCCTCCTGCAGTAGCAGCTCCCTCAGTAGTGAGTACGCGGGTACCCAAATGCGGTTGGTGCCTGTTTTTAAGTAATAGACTCCTTTTGCTTCTGCCAGTTGCTGTGAATTTCCGGTCGTGAAAAATGGGTCGGTGCGGTATCCGTGGGTGAATAGGCCAGTTAAAAGCGGGTTGGTCTGGGCAAGTAGGATGGCGTGGAGTTGGGCGGTGGGGCGGGTGAGAGCGTCGGCGATGTTGGATGCGCCTTTTTTTTACGTAACGGTGTAATGGAAGTTGGACTCAAGATAGTCCAACCAGCGAATCTGTCGTGGGTTGAGATTCGGTTGGGCGCGAAGGTACTGTAGTGAGCGGTGATCTGTCCGTACTGTCACGTCGGCGCCAGTCAGGTAACACCGCCAAACTTTGAACGCGTGCACGATCGCCAGCATTTCGCGGTCGTGTATCGGGTAGTTGCGTTCGGGCGGGTGTAGCTTGCTCTTTCTCCCCCCACGTGTACTCAACCCCCTTCCTCAGCAGGTCAGTCAACGGGGCAGTCAGCTTCGCCATGTCGGGGACGAACCGGCGCACGTAGTTGACGAACCCCAGGAAACTCTGCAACTCGGTCAAGTTGGTCGGCGCGTGCCAAGCCTGTTCGTCGCAATTTTCTTCGGGTCTATTTCCACTCCCGCAGCTGAAATAACATGTCCCAAAAACTCCAGGCGGTCCTGTAAAAACTCACACTTAGATGCTTTGGTCAGTAGGCGGTTCTCACTCAGGATTTTAAAAACTGCTTCGATGTCTTGTAAGTGCTGTGCTCTGTCAGAGCTGTAAATCAGTATGTCGTCCAGATAAACAATGACGCACTTATCTAAAAGCGGGCGGAATGCTTCGTTCATGGTCATTTGGAAGGTGGCGGGGGCGTTGGTCAGTCCGAATGGCATGACAGTGTATTCGAAGGATCCGTAGCGTGTTCGGAATGCAGTTTTTGGGCAGTCGGGTGGGTTGACGCGGATTTGGTGGTAGCCTCCTCGGAGGTCGATCTTTGAGAAAACCCGGGCTGTGCGCAGTTGGTCGATCAGTTTGTCGGCTCGTGGGATGGGGTAACGGGATTTGATGGTAACCCTGTTCACTGCCCTGTAGTCGATACACATGCGAAACCCCCCGTCCTTTTTCGGTGTGAACAGTATGGGTGCGGCGAAGGGCGACGAACTGGGGCGAATGAATTCCTTTTCGAGCAGGTAATCGAGCTGCTTCCTCAGTTCGTCTAGTTCGGGTTGGGTCAGTCGGAACTGTCGCTGTACTGTCGGCTGTGCCCCCGGTTCCAGTTCTATCCTGTGATCGTGCGGTCGCTGAGGTGGCAGTCCCGTCGGCAGGTCGTCCGGGAAAATGTCACTGTACTGTTTTAACAGCGCTGCCAGATCACTCGGTACGTCGGTCAGCAGTTTCTGTAAATCTCCTCCCTTGTCTGCTGCCTCGGCTTCCCGAATGTCAACCGCGTACACGTCAACTCCGGCCGCTACAGCGCGTATTATCGTGATCGCATTGACACGTACCGACGAAGACTCAGGCGAGCCCCAGCGAGGTAAGGCGATGTTGTTACCGTTTGCTCACACGGTGCAGTCCCCCGTCGTCCGTTTGATCGCCATACACAACCAGTTGGGCTGGAAAGCCCTTAGGATCTTTGCAGGGGTGAACTCTGCGTATACTTGGTGTAGTAGCGGAAGCGTTAATTAAAGTGTTGTGAACCACCTTGCGCTTGTATGCGAGGGCAAAGTAAATTGATTAAAGCAAAGAGATACAAGATTATATAAGAGTACAAGGAATACGAAGAGATACGGTTACAACTACTTTACTGTTGCTGTTGTGGTTCGATACAGTGACGACTCGGGCAACTGCTCTGCAGCGAGTCAGCTGTGTGTCCTTGCTGTCGCGCTGTACTTGTCAGGTCAACGGTTGTTGACCTTTGACCTGACCGTAACCTCCGACAGTTACTTCATCCTCCGAGGGTTGACTCGCTGGTGCTTCGATACCGTAGTGTTTTGCTTCGTTTGTGTCTTGGTGTTTCGACACGACACAGGCGCTTAGGACCGATTGTTTCCAACACAAACTCCCATCATGGGGCGTCTCTGCACTGTTGTCATGTAGGGCAGCTATAGTGCATAAATAAATTGGTTGATGTGTTGTATGTTCTTATTTCATGCTTGACAGGAGGTGACAAACACTTGCTGTTTGGTCACGTGAGTGATGGGGACTGTTTCGAAGCCTCACCCACGCGTTCTGTAACTTGCTTGTTGGCTTGTCATGATGGACTGGACGGTGGGACAAACAGATCCTCC